AGCCTCCAGGCCCTCGGGGGGGCTCCCGCTGCCCCCCCAGCCCGCGCCCACAGGCTCCGGAAGGCCCATCTGACAGGAGCGGAACCCTGATAAGCGCCACCTGACCAGGAGGCCCGGGGCAGAGACCAAGGCACAAGTCGTCAACAACCTCCCCTGCCCCCACCGCGGAGCAGGGGCAGGTGGCGGGGGGGGGGGCGGCGCAGGCAAGGAGAGCTAGACGGGGCCACGGCCAGAGAGGGCAGGCCCTGGCTCCCCGACCCGCAGCACCGGGCCCCGGGCCCCCAAGAGCGAAGACGCTGAGATGCGAGGCCAGGGAGCATGGTGGGGGCTGGCTCCAGAGACCCCCTCAGCCTGGAAGCTTCCCATGGCTGGCTGAGGGCCGCCTGAGCCTCCGAGGCAGCGCTGGGCCACGGGTGGCCGGGCCCCTCCAGGCCCAGGGGGTCCTCGGCCGAAGGCCCACTGGTAGGCTTGGTCTGCTGCCAGAGTAACCGGGCTTCCATCTTGAAATCTGAGTCCACTCCTGAGCTGTATTCCCAGCTTTGTTCTGGAAGCTCTGAGCCCCAGCCCCCAGCCTCAATCTTTTAGGGACCGTCTCCTGACTTTTGAAGGTGGAAAACGAATTCAGCTTTCCATAGTGATAATAACATTCTGCAAGAGAAGACAAGATGATCCACCAGAGCCCAGGCCACACGTGGCTGATCAGGGCTGGGAGGATGCAAAACCAGCTGGGGCAGCGTCTTCAGAGCAGCCCTGGGCACCCGCGGAAGGTGGAGCACACCCCAGGCCCCGGGAGGTGGGTGTGGAAGGGTAGGCAGAGACAGATCGCTGCGGAGCCGTGAAACTGCAGGCCCTGTCGCGTGGGCAGAGAGCTCCTGGCAGGAAGTGCACGTGCCGGCACGAGCTTTCCTCTGGGAGGGCTGCTGGCAAGGCGGGAGCGTCCACCTTTCCCTTCCACTCCTCTCGGGCGCTTCAGTGTTTACCGTGAGCAGGCGTTATTATTACTTTCACAATTTCTAAGACACAGGAAGCGTTTTTTAATGACTGAACACAAACCAATGCAGTTGACTGTGTCATAACATCATAGCTCGAACCTACAGGAAGCCCAGCGAATCACACCTGTCTCCATTTAGGAAAGAGGGGGACAGCCTTCCCAGGGCATGCTGCTGGGGGCTGGGCTTTAGAGAATGAATAGGAGTTTCTCCAGGCGGACTAGGAGGGTCCCGTCTTCGCGGACCAAGGAAATCAGTGGCTGTCGTGGTCACTGGATAAGGTTTCATGGAGTTTATGGAGGGCTGGACCTCCGCTGGACCTTGGAGGAGAGAAAGAGTTTCAGTGAGAGAGGTGTCAGGGGGTGGGCCTGGGACCAGCCAGGACCGGACCGAGGAATGAGCCTGTCGCATGTCAGGGAGGCCAGCTGAGGCCCAGGGAGGTCATCTCCCAGCAGCTGTCCCATCGCCGAGCCACAGCCTCCAGGAGACTGCAGGGCAGATCCAGAGCGGGTACCACAGCCTTGGGGACGTCCCCAGGTCCCCTCAGGACCTGGCCCAGAGCTGTCACGCAGAGTCCAGGGGGCTGCCTTGGGCACTCTGCCCACGGGGCGCCCGCGGGCTCACAGCGGAGCCTGGGCCAAAGGCGCTGGTTGTTGCAGAGGCCTGAGCAATGCTCCTGCTGGGAGCCGGTCACAGCGCCCAGATCCCGCTGGGAACTGCACTCACCACGTGGGACCCTGAGCCGACCCTCCCTAACCTCCAGTTTCCCACCAGGCAGCGGAGAAGACCCCGGGGTGTGAGGCGCCGAGTCCCCACACAGGCCCTGCCTGGAGCAGACTGCCGGCGTGGACCGGCTCCTGTCTAAGAGCTCCTCCACCGCCAGCTCGCTCGGTCCGCAGAGAGCCGTGGACGGCGGCTCCCGGACGCCCCGAGGTGACAGGGAGGCCGGCGAAGTGTGGGAGGGGGCCGGGCGGGCAGCACCTCACCTGCTGGGCGGGCAGCACGCTGCTTCGCCCTTGTGTGGAACCGCCATCCCCCCAACAGAGCTCCCCCGACGGCACTGCCGGCCGCGGCCAGCACACAGGACGCCTCTGCGCGGGAGACAGCGTGCGCATTTCCCGGGCAGGGGCTCCCTCTGGCGGTGACGGGGGGGTGGGTCGCAGTCCCCTCCAGCCTCGGCGGGTCTCTGGGGCACACCTGGACCTCGCTCACCGCTCACCGCTCAGGGCCCAGCCGCCGGACTTTGCGGGGGAAATCAGGCCCCGACGGCAGAGCAGTCGCTTCGTCCAGAGCCCCAGAACCCGTCCACGGGAGAATGACAAGAAGCCGATGGGAGGCCAGAGGCTGGCCTGGGGGGAGTGTGAAGTGGGATGCCAGCATTTATTGAGCACCTGCTGTGTGCTCTACAAGTATGTTCTCCCATGACCCCTGTTAAAGAAGAAATTATTCCAGAGGCCCTGACACCGGGGGGGCCTTGCAATGGCGGAAGAGATGGGGCACTCAGCACAGCCAGCAGAAGGGAATTGACAGGCAAGGGGCGGTGCGGGCGGTGGGTGGCAATGACTGAGAGGAAGCACCGCCGGGAGGGGTTCTGGTCAAACCAACCTCCCCAGAGCCTCGCTGAAGGCAGGCCAGGTGAGCGGATGCCAGCAGCGGGGTGGCGAGCGGCGAGGAGCCCATCCGATACACGGGGTGGGGGCTTCCAGCTAAACAGACCTGGCAGGATTCCTGACAAACCTGGACAGTGCAGAGAGGAACACGGGAGCCCAAAGGTCAAGGCCCCAGGGAGAAGAGGGCTCCGAGGAGCAGGGTCACACTCTGGCCGAGGAGAGGGGCCCCTCGTCGGGTGTCGCCCCCACAGCACTCCTGGGCGCCCCCTCGTGTGTGTGGGATCCGAGGCTCCGGTGCCGGGCGCCCAGGGGAGTCTGGCACCTGACGAAAGGGGCTCAGTTCCCCGGGAAACAGCAGCTGAGTCACAGGGCGTCTGACCAGCCATCAAATGTTCCTGTTACAACAGACCCCACCCAGGGCTTACTGCAGGCCAGGGCCCGCCCCGGCGGCTCCTCCGAGCCTCGCGCCGACAGGGACTCTGCGTTAGCGGGGAGCGTTATTACCCCATTTCCCAGGCGGAGATGTGAAGGCGCAGGGCAGCTGAGCGGAGGCAGAGCCAGCAACGCAGCCCAGCATCCCGCCTGGAGCTCGCCGCCGCTGGCCCCCTCCCTGGTGACAACCTGCATCCCCACTAGCGGAGGGCCGGTGTCACTTGCCTCAGTAACGAGCACCTGGAAAGGGATGCTATGCCACTGAGTGTTAGCCTCATGTGCCCCCGGGTCTGTCCCCAGAGCCACCCACCCAAATCAGGTTTCTCTCAAGTCACCCCCGACTCTCCTTCCCAGCAGTGGGCACGGCTGCTCCCTGGGGACCACCCCAATACTCGAGAGCAGCCCAGAGCTTTGCAGGGGCCTCTGTCTCGGGCCAGGTCAGGTCAGGGGCAGCTCCCAGCATTGGGCAGGCGGCAGCTCATAGCAGCCATTCCGCAAGTCCCTGCCACCAGCCTGGCCCCCGAGCTGCCTGATGGACACGTGGCCCCAGAAGGGCCGCTTCTCCTTCATGGGATCCTGTTCCCATGGAAGTGAGTGACACCCCCTCCCCAGGTCTGCAGGTACACACTACACCAAGCGAGGGCAGGGGGCACCCCCGAGGGGGCACACGTGGCCTCCTGGCGGAGCCTGCCAGCCCTCCTGTGGGGACCGATGGGCTTGCGGTAGCCGGCACTGCGGGCTGGGGGCGTCCCGAGGCAGAGGACACACGGCGAGGTTCTCTGGGTCAGGACATCCTGACGCATGCCATACACATGGCATCGAGAATCGACCCTGAACTTGACCCAAGAGACACTAACAAGAAACAGAGTGACCTCTAAGGCCGAGCGGACACACGCGCTGGGACGGGCCCGAGTCGAGCTCTGCTGGGACCTGCAACTCACAAGCCTGATGCCCTCCCCAGAGACACACACAAGTCAGTCACAGCCGCCTGTCCAGACTCCTGCTTACACACTTCATCTCCTAACACGGGTATGATGGGGTCTGTTGTCTGGGTCAGGAAATGGGTAGGAAACTCCCGGGTGACTTGCAGAACCCAGACGGAACCCCAGAAGGCTGATGGTCCCTCTTCCAACCACCCAGCTGCCGCCCACAGTCCGGGAAGCAAACAAAGGCCCGCGCCTCCCCTCCCCGGCAGAGGCTGGGCCAACAGCCACCCCAGGGTGTCACGGCTAAGGACCCTCAGACGTCAGCTTGTGCAGGAAGACGTCAAGCCCAGAGGGAAGGGACTTGCCCACGGATGGGGGGTGACCCAGAGGGAAGACTTGGTTCAGAGCACTCAGTGCTACCTGCAAGGATTTATTTTCTAGTTTCTCATCTTCTGAAAGTCACAAAGGGTCTTGTGACTACATCCTTAGGCACCAGTCCCCAGTGCCTAAAACCCTGCCTGACACACAGTGACGACAGCTGTGAAATGAATCGACAGGGTCTCCACTGGCTCCCTGCACGCAGCTGTGGGGAGGTACGGCCCAGCACTCAGGGATCTCCCGTGAAACCCCCTTCAGTCCTCAAGGCCCTGCGGTTCGAGACCCTTCCCTCCACTGGCCCCTCCTCTCCTGATCGGCAACCTTTCCCTCCCTGGGACCTCCTTCCTCCCCTCCAGCATTGAAAGGGGCTCCTGTCTTTCTCATCTTAAGATGGATCTTCCTGATTCCACCTCCTGAATGAAAGGCAACGAGGGGGCTGGAGTCGGGCACCTGCAGACCCTCCGGAGGGGGGACCGCTCCCCTCACCATGCCCCATCCGCCAGCTCTCCCCGCAGCCCACCCGGGCTCTCTGTTCACACGTTTCCCTGCACTTGGCTCTGGTCTGTTGCAGCGACCATGGGACCAGTGACCGCAGGGAGGCTGCGAAAGTGAAGGGCCAGGTTGGGGGCACCACGGGGTCTCCGCCACGGGAGGGAAGGCCACCCTTAGCGCCGGCTCAGGCCTGGGCTGGTCTGCAGGCTCCGTCTGCCCTCCGAGCTGCCTCCCTGGCCACCCAGGCAGGTGACCGGTGGGTGCCCAGGTTCAGGCCCCACCGTCCCGGCAGCAGCCGGTGCAGGGCGGCCGCGGGGGCCTTTCCTGCCCAGGCCGCGGCCCCAACCGCTGGCAGCGCTTCCGGCGGGCCTGCGGCGGGCTGCACTATCAGCTCGGCGCCAGACACCCGGCCAGGATACTTGTGGTGAAACTGTGAGGGCGCACTCGGCCCTGTGGGGCTTCTCCGTGTCAGCCTCCAAGACAAATGGAGGGGGCGGCTGACGCCAGGCCGCTTCTTCGGCCCCCTTTTCCTCCGCTGGCCCCCCGCGGCCATGGGCCAGCTCGAGACCGGCCATGGAGGAGCCGGGCTGGCCCGCGGGGGCTGGACAGTGGCGTCGGATGATGGGCAGACAGCAGGCCGGCCTGGGGGCTTGGACCGCCCATGGCCCAGGGGCACCCACCCGCCACCAGAGGCCCAGGGAGGAGGCTGGTCCGCGACCAGTGGACGTGTCCTCGTCTAAGGCACCCTGGACCGGCGCAGTCCACCCTCGCCCTGGCTTAGCAGGGGGCGCCAGGCCCCACCGGCCACGGGGGAAGCCAGGGCCAGGGAGGCGCAGGACGGCCCGCAGCCCGGAGCTGAGGAAGCGCGGAGCTGGGGCGGCCAGCGCCCAGGCCTCAGCCGGGCCACGCTCGGGTGATGGACGAGCCTGGCCGCGGGCCGCCCTGGCACACCTCTGGTCCAGGCCAGGCGGCCTCTCCCGGCGCGCGCCCCTAGGTGGCGCCCTCGCCTCCAGGCCGGGTGCGGCCTTGCGCATGCGCGAGCCACCCCCCACCCCACCCCACCCCCCGGCTGCGCTCCCCGGCGGGCCCTCTGCGCCTGCGCACTAGGCCCCGTACGGGGACCTCGGCGCGGCCCGCCGGCCCGGTAGAGGGCGCCCTCCGGCGCGAGCCCTCGGCCTCGGCCCCGGCCCCGAGGTTCTTCCTCTTCCTGCTCCGCAGTGAGGGGTTTACCCGAACTCAGCGAGGGGGCGGCGGGAGAAGCCGCCCGACGGCCGGCCGAGACCGACCTCCGTCCGAGGCGGGTCGGGGTCGCGACAGCCCGCTCGGCGGCGGCCGGCTCCGTTGCCCCGCTCGCGGCGGCCGGTGAGGGAGAAGGGCTCAGGGAAGACGCTCCCGGAGGAGGGGCAGGACCTCACTGGGCGGGCGTGAGGCTCCCGCGCGGCCTTGTCCCGCAGCACCGTCGCGGCCTGGGCCCGCGTCTGGTGCCTGGGAGACAGCGGGCGCTCAGGTCTTCTCACAGCTCGCTCTCAGCCAGAGTCAAAGCTGAGCGTGTCTTCCCTCACTGCCTGCCCTTCCCTGACCTTGGGTGAAGCCCCGTCCCGTCTGGGCTCTTCCTGCGCTGCCGCTTGTGCCCCGCGCCCTGGATTCCCTGCTGGCCCGGGGCCTTGGCACGCGCTCTGCCGTCTTAGGGGAGCTTCCCCCACGGCCATGCCGCCCGGGCTCTCCTGTGTACCCTCCGAGGGCCTGGCAGTTAGTGACTGTCCGTCACTCGCCGCTCTCCGCACGGCCTCCGCTCCACCGTCGCCTTAGCACCCCGGTAATCCACCCCGCTCCACACGGCTCTGGGGCCTCACCCAGGACAGGCTGCCTTGCCTTCGTGGCATCAGGGTTTCCAGATGTAAAATGTAACCTATACTTGCCACACAAACTTGCTCCCAGGAGCAAATCCGTCTTTTTTTTTTTTCCTGCAAATCCATTGTTCAGTGGATAAAAAGCACTTGATGAAAGTACTATCCCCTTGGTGGGAGGGGGGACCGGGATGGGGAATACATGTAAATCCATGGCTAATTCATGTCAATGTATGACAAAAACCACTGCAATGTTGTAATTAGCCTCCAGCTAATAAAAATAAATGAAAAAAAAAAAAAAAGTACTATCCTCAAAGTTAAGAAATAAGTTATGAGAGATTTTCAGTGCAACAACACCCAAGTTCACAGTCCCAGCTTTATTGCCACTTGGTCACACATGCTTTAAAAAAACACACACGCTTGTAAAATACGCACACATCAGGAATGAGGAGGCCATGAAACAAGGGGCTTACAGGTGCCCAAAAATATCCTAGGATTCAGAATAAACAAAACCAACTGAAAGACTTCTTGGTTCAAAACACAAAGATAATTTGTTTTTCATGACACTTGTTGTTTTAAAGGAATATTTTAGGGACAAAAACAAAGCTTCTTGTGTTGTCTGAGGCAGGGCCTGACTTCTGTCTTCCTCGAGAGCATTTTGCAAAATCCAGAAGCTGGCCTGAGCAGGCCTTGCCGTTCACTCCCAAGCCTGCCCTCGGCAGAGCTACAGGGCATCCAGGATGTGGTCGATCTTGCTGACCAGCTCCTGCCGCTTTCCCGAGATGAGTTTCTCATTCTCGATGTACGTGTCTTTCTTGAGTTTGCCAGCCACCAGCCGCTCGGCCTCCACCGCCGACTTCAGGACCAGCTCCTTGACCTGCGCGTCCAGCTTCTGCATTTCACTCACCTGGCGGGGCAAGAGCAGGGAAGGGTCGAGAGCGTCCCTGCACCACCTTCCAAGGCCCCCCATGAGCCCTTGCCTTCAGTCTCCGGCCCTGGGGAGCCAGGCCTTTCAGCACCCCTGGCCCCAGCCGTGGAGACCGTGAGCATCGCGTGTGATAACACAGGAGTCCCTGGCACGGTGCTGGGCACACGCAGGCACTGTGAACGCCCGTCCTCTTCCCTCCCGCTTCCAGGCGGGGCCAGGGACTCTGTCAGGCAAAGGACCGACAGCAGGGGCAGGCAACGCGCGTGACCACCGACTGGGTGTCAGGCTGAGGCCTTTACAGCCACGGCCATTCGACACTTGGCGAGCATCTATGAGCCACGGTGCCAGGCACGAGTCTACTTGCTGGAAAACAGCAGAGGAGACAGACAGGCATCCTGCCCGCGGGGAGCTGACAGCACACACTTGAGGACGTGAGTAAGCGGGTCAGAAAGGGCAGGTGCGCTGGAGAGAACAGCTCAGGGTGACAGGAAGGGGCAGGCGGTCAGGGCCTCAGCCCTACCCCCAGGCTTCCCACACGCACACACACTGACAGGCTTGACACCCACGACGGCTGCGAGCTCCGCGAGGACACAGCAACTCCCCCACCCCCAATCTAGAGATGCGGACACTGAGGCACACGGTAGGTAGCTGGCCAGGTTCACAAAGTGTGAATCAGAGCCTGGATCCAAGCCGCCATTCTAAGTCCGTGCTCCTCCCCACAGCCCGAGCAGCTGGAGGGGCAGCTCTCCACAGCCGCCACGTGGGCAGTGCTGCGCAGGCCCCGAGACCCCAGCTCTCACAGCCCCAGGGGGCACACAGCACGAACACACGATGGGCGTGCTTCCCCACAGGCCAGCGGCGAGCCAGGCTGTCCTACACCGCGGGCTACAGGGACCGAGGCAGGAACAAGCCGGGTGCTCGGCGGCGGCAGGCACTCACTTTGTCGCAGAGGTCGGAGCCCTCCGTCTTCAGCCGGGACTGCAGCAGCGCCACCTCGCTTGTCAAGGCCTTGTGCTCCGTCTCCAGGCTCTTCTTGCCGCTGTTGAGGGTGGACACGTCTCGGGACTGCTTGTACCTGTTGACCGTCTCGTCAAAGTGACGATAGAGGCCTAGTCTCCTGTTGACCAGGGTCAAGACCTGCTCCGTGATGCAGGCCACCTTCATCCTGGCCTCCGCAGCCGGGTCCTGGGGAGAGACGGAAGCGACGGCCTCTGGGCCCGAGCCTGCGCCGACCCCACCTCCCAGGAGCACCCCCCCAGCCATGCAGCCAGAGACGCACAGTCGCCGGCGCCGGACAGCTCAGCAGTGGGCGGCACGGGGCCGGGAAGACAAGGCGGACAGTCACAGCCAGGCCCGGCAGGGGAGACAGACAGGGTGAAAGGCACGCTAACGCCAGGGGCCCGCGAACGGGCAGGGAGGTGCTGAGGGAGTGGGAGCCCGGCTCGGCCGGCGGCCTCCCGCTCAGCACCTCCAAGTGTTTCCAGGGCCTAAGGACGAAGCCCGAGCTCCTCGGCCACCACAGCCCTTTAGAGGTGGCCCCACACACTCCCCAGAACCTGTCACCACGGGCCTTCTGCAGAGAGCAGTGGACAGTGATCCAACAAAACAACACTGAATTCAACCAACCAACCAACAAGGGAATCTTTCCCTTATAGTGGACAGCCAACTGCTAAGGTAAAAGGCCCCGTAGTTTTTCAGTGACCACAACTGGTAACAGATTCAGACGAGAACCAATAATGAATACTGTTAACTAATGGTGAGCGTATACAGTATTTATATAGCCTCAAACAGACTGTGTATTAATTGCAAAGAGAAAAACTAACTTTTTGGTGAAGAAACCAGGCAGGCACCAAGTCATTCAAGAAGTCAACACCATAAACCCTGGACCAGCTGACACCAGGTGCCTCCTGACATCAGGCACCACAGACACGGCACCAGTTTATCACGCTCTCACCAAAAATGCCTAATAGGAATTCTCAGGGAGAACCGTGAGAAACCTAAATTACAAATGTTGCCAATTAAAGGAGATCAAGGAAATATGACAACTAAATGCAGCACACCATCCTCAATAGAAGTCTCAAGTGTGGAAAACCCCCGCTCTGGAAGCTGCCCTTCGGGCAGCCGGCACAGGGCTGCGCGCTGGCCTTCATTACGGGACACGATGTTCCCAGGGCAATCCGTGTGCTCCAGCCACCGGAGGCGGCGCCCGCGGGCTGCACAAACACCTGAGCACGCACGGAAGGTCGGCACCGGTGGTTCAGGGAGAAAATGACAGGCAGGGGCCAGGTGTTAACTGCTCCGTCCGCGTGCAGAGGGCACACGACTTATTTTTACTCTTCTTGCAAAATGTCTACATGTAGAATTATTTTAAAACTCGGCATTTTTTACATTAACGAAAGAATAAGCAGTTTTTACACCTTAGGAAATGGGCATATGTCATCATAAAACCTGGACTCAGCCCTTCCATGTGACAGGGCTAACTGGCCGCTGTCTGGCGTACCCCCACCCTGGGCAGCCTGGGGGTTCACAGAACCAGCGGGACCAAGGTCCTTGTTCAGAACCCCAGGCCCCCTGAAGGCCCCCCTGCCATCTGCACGCTGCCCCCTCTGCCAGACGGCCTCCCACCCCCTGTCCGGTCGGATGCCTCACTCCAGAGCGCGTGCTCTGCCCGCCCCCTCTCCGCGGCACCCGCCGCCCGGCGGCACACTGCCCCCGCAGCATCACATGCCCGCAATGACAGCAACAGGAGGCAGGGCTCCAAGGTTCAGGATCAGCCGGGGCCACAGGCGGGGGTGCGGGTGGAGGGGTGCTCCAGACAGACGCAGGGCAAGCGCAGCATGCAGGCGGCCGGGCGGTACCTTGGTGATGGAGAAGTCCAGCCTGACGTAGACGATGACGGTGAAGAAGAGGATGTAGAAGGCGGCCACCACCAGCAGCGGCTCCTGCAGCATGAGCACCTTGTTGAAGGTGTAGTGCACCTGCGGACCAGGAACGCTGCTGGCTGAGTCCGCCCGGACTCAGAGCCCTGGGGGCAGGGGCCCCCCCAGGCCACCCGCACCCGCCGGCCCTCTGCCCAACCCCGCGGCGCGCTCGGGGAGCAGGCGTGCGTGCCTACCACGATGTCCTGGATGTGCTGCTCCACCAGGTTCTTCTTGTGGGCCACGATGACGGGGCGGCCAAACGTGTCCAGGTAGGTGTGATGCAGCTCGTCAGGGCCGCGGCTGACCTCGTAGGGACTGTCCACCTGGATGTTCCTGCAGGAGGCGGTGAGGCAGCCTAACAGACCACACTCCCCAGCTGGCTCCCAGCAAGGAGCCCAGTCCTACTCCACTCCGCTCCCCGCCCGGCACGGGTTCCACCTGGCCCTGAGACCATCGGCCCACTGCCAAAAGGCCTGCATCTGAGTATGTTGTGTCCCCCGTGCCAAGGGCAGGTGGCCCTCTGAGGGCCCACTGGTTTCCGCCACCTGGACCCGTGGAGGTGCTGGGCTCTGTCCACCCCATCCTGAGCTGAGGCCGTCTTCTGAGAGATCCCTCACCCTTCCAGAATCCTTGCTTTCTGCTTAAACCGGCCAAAGACAGCTCCTCTGTCCATCACCATGGAACCTGATACACCATCTCAGACCTTGCCCTTCTGAACCTGGTGTGACCAGCCCAGACAGGACAGACTGTCCCCACTGTCCTTCCCCCTGCGAGGAGCAGAGCACAGGCCACCTGCCTGCCTCAACTCTGCGTTCTTTCCTGCTGGGGGCACCCGCCGGCCTCGGGCCACCGCCCAGGCCTGCTGTAGATGCCCCAAGTTAAACCACCAGGAGCCCCTCCTCTGCGCCCTGCAACCCCGCAACCCCGAGGCACCAAGAGGGCGGGGCCAGGAGGGACAGGGAGGGAGGGCACACTCACTTCGCCCCTTCCGGCAGGATGATCTTCACGGTCAGAGAGTCTATGACCTGCTCATCAAACACGTGGTCCACCAGCCTCATCTTCAACGCGTACTGGTCTCCTGAGGGTCGAGCACACGCAGCTGTGAGTGGTTCATGTGTGCCTTTCCAGCAAGTACTAGAGCCCAGGCCCTGAGCACCACACGAGACCCCGGCCACCACCAAGTGCCCGCCGCCAATGAAAGAACACGTCCGCCAACTCTCGCTGAAGGAGCGCCCTGCATCTGACCAGGCTCCAGAGACAGCTGTCTCTGGAGACACAGAAGCCACCCGTGAGACGGGGTTCCTGACGCCAGCCTTCCTGAGAGTGAGAACACGCTCTGCCCATCCGATCATCACACACAACAACCCTACAGGTAAGAAAAGACAGCCTTTGCCTTTTCCACCCTCTAATTACTGAAGACTGACCCAGGTTATACAGGTACTCATAGCTTGGGAGGTTGTAGCCAACGATGTAATGGGTCTTCCACCCGCCAAAGAGCGGGAAGCGAGGCCGGATCTCCATCTCCACGGAGTCATCCAGGATGAGCAGGTGGCTGGTGGACACGTTGCCAATCTCGTCGCGGTAGTACACGTCCTGGGCCGCGGCAGGAAGGATGGTCTGCAGAGAGCGAGCACACTTTTTTGAAGACTCCAGAAAGAGACCCAGAGAAGTATCACCGAGCCCAGGACAGATGTCCTGCCCCAAGCTCCTCACCACAGCATTCCGTAATGAAACCGTCTCCATGTAAACCAGCTCAGGGAAGCCTAACTTCCCCCAACAGGCTTCAGAGTTCTAGATACCTCATCTGCTTCTCGGTCAAGGCTGGCAAATAGCCAGATTCTCACAACTACCATTGCAGATGCTAAAGAATTAGTACAAAGCTAAAAATAACCTGTAAGCTGTTTTGCAAGAAGGGAAACTGAAGATGGAAGAAACCATATCAAATCACCAGACGGTTCACGGTTTATTTACAAAAGGGTTTCTCCAGCTAGTATTTTTTACTAATTTTTAAAAATTTTTACTTAATTTTAAATTACTTACTTCCAAATCTGTAAGCATATTTTGATAATCGAGGGGAAATATAATGCCTTTGTTTGCTCACTGAGCCCTTCTGTATTATGCAGGTACAAGAACATGCTTATAAGGTTTCATTTATAAGACAAAAGAAGATACAAGACTGTATATGCAATACGATCAAATAATTTTTAAAAACCATATTCTAAGAAAAAAGAAATATATGTCGGCAATACCAGGGTCTGGTTTTGTCGTTCCTTTTCCCATTGTTCCCATTTTCTTTATGAACGGGGCTTTTTTTGGGCGGGGGGGGGGGCGGTGTCTGCGGCCAGTTCCCCGACCAGGGATTGAAGCTGGGCCATAGTTCTCTCTGACTAGACAGTCACAGTGTCTCCCAGTGTCCAGGCCCAAGAGCCCACACCTTGAAAGAGCGGACGGAGGAGACCCCACTGTCCGGCTGCCTCTGGTAATCATAGCGCGAGAAAGGCCCCTTCAGCACGGCGCCCGTGTGCTTCAGGTCCACGTTCTCCTCCACGGCGATGTTGCCCCAGTGGGAGACCTCGATGACGCGGGCCATGCTAGTGATGGTCAGGAATGGGCTGTTGTTCTCAGAATGCACTCGGAATGCGTCCTGGAGAGGAAGGAAGCAAGCAGCTTGAGGATCCGAGCGAACAGGAACCAACACTAGCTCACAGCAAACGGACTGCAGACAGCCTACAGCTCAGCGCCAGGATGGTCAGAAACAGAACTCCACACTTCTTTAAAAATCTTAAGTCGTAAATAAAGAAAAACTGCAACGAGGAAATATCCGTATATGTAAGAGCTAATGAAGACATAATCTCTCACCAGTGAGCCAACACATAGCATAAGACTGAGCACGACACACAGAATTACTGGATTTTTCTCTCCTGGAGAAAAGTTATCTGGGAAAATTCACAGAAGAGATTTTTTAAGATAATATAGTTATATAGCTAACAGGTATGTATGAGACAGTCACTCCTTTATGAGCTCTAAATAAACACAGCATTTTGTTTAATCTTCAGAACATCATAATGAAGTACTACTTATCCCCATTTTACAAACAAAAACGCCCAGAGGCCCAGCAGCCAGCATCAGGGAATCTTCCCGGTCTCAGATACCAAGAACAGATTGGTGGTTGCCAGAGACATGGATTGCAGAAATGGGTGAGCTATCTTGTTTCTTTTTAATTTAAATAAATTGAATAAAAAAAAATTTAGGTAAAATGACAAAAGGACCAGAAAATATCAAATTAAAAAACCTGCATAGCTAAGTGAAAGGTTACCTATGAATGGAAGAACAAAATGAAAGGTTACCTATGAATGGAAGAAGATATTTGCAAATGACACAGCCAATTAGGGGTTAGCATCTAAGATATAAAAAGAACTTGTACAACTCAACATCAAAAACCAAATGACCCAATTTAAAAATGGGGAGAGGAGCTGAACAGACATGTTTCCAAGGAAGACATTCAGATGGCCAAAGGCAAATGAAAAGACACTCAACATCACTAATCATCAGGGAAATGCAAATCAAAACCACAGCGAGATATCCCCTCACACCTATCAGAGTGGCTGTTACCAAAAAGGTAACAGACAGCAAGTGTCGGCAAGGACGCGGAGAAGGAGCCCTCCTGCACTGCTGGCAGGAGTGTGAGCTGGGGCAGCCGCTACGGAAAACAGTGGGGACTCCTTAAAGATTTAAATTAAAGGGGGAGATTCCTTTAAAAATTGAAAACTCTACTCCCGTATGACCCAGCAATTCTATTTCTTGGTATTTATCCGAAGAAAATGAAAACACTAATTAGAAAAAATACCCGCAACCCCAAAGTTCATAGCAGCATCATTTACAATACCCAAGACATAGAAGCAACCTAAGTGTTCATCAGCAGATGAGCGGACACAGATGTGAGGCGCACACTCAGAGGAACACTGCTCAGTCAGGAAAGAACAAAACCTTGCCGTCTGTGACAACGTGGACACGTCTAGAGGGCGTTACCTAAGTCAGATATTGCTCAGGATAAACACTGCATGATTTCACTTACATGTAGAATCTGAGAGACAAATGAACAAAGGAAATAGGAAGAGTCTCAGAAACAAACGAGGTCACCAGAGGGGAGGAGAGGGGGCTGGAGGAGGAACCAGGCGAGGGGTACTGGGAGGACAACGCTCAGTCGCAGAATGGCGGGCTGTTCGGCCAGCAGCTTTAGCATCTTTGTGTGGCGACATATCACAGCTGGACTTTCCATGGTGGTCATTCAGAGATGCACAGAAATACTGCATCACTACGCTGCGTAACAGGAACTAATGAAGTGTTGTAGGTCAATTAAACTTCAAAAAGCAAAAGACAAATTCACAAAAAGAGAGACCAGATTTGTGGCCCCCAGAGGCAGGGCGTGGTGGGTGGGGGCCAGTGCAGGGAAGGGGAATTGGATGAAGGCAGTCAGAAGGTACAAACTTCCAGTGATGACATAAGTCAGCCCTAGGGATGTAATGTACAACATGAAAAATGTAATTACTATTGCTGTACATATGAAGGTTAGGTGAGTAAATCTTAAGAGTTCTCATCACAAGAAAAGTTTCTTCTGTTTAATTTTTTCTTTAAATTTCACAGCCCTTCGCCCCATAAACTTTATAAATGAAGAACCACAACTGGAGCCAAGGTCTGAACAGGTGCCTATCTCTTTAACTTTGTATGAGCTGATAAATGTGCACTATGCTCCTTGTGATAACTGTTTCATGAGGAAGTCAAATCATTGCACTGTACGCCTTGAATTTATTCAGGGCTGTATGTCAATTGTATCTCAATAAAACTGGAAGGAAACAAACAACAACAACAAAAAACAAGCAAAACACCTTTCTTTCCCAAAAGTCCAAGAAATGGACAAGATAAGGTGTATTTTAATTCTTATAGCTCTGGCCACTTCATTCATTCTATGACTATATTTCAAAAATCCAACTGAAATATTAATCATATGTGGTCGCATTTGATGCCAGTACTGATGAGGGTGTGGGGAGACTGGCAGTCTCATACTGCTGGTGCCGTAACAAACGGGCTAAAGTGTTTGAAAAACCATTTGGCAGTACACCACAAGAGATTTTTAAATGTCCACATGCTTTGCTTTGAGAACTTTTTAAAAAATCTACCTTGAGAGCATGGAGCAAAAAAAAACAGGCTGGCTGAAGCATTACACGCAGTGCTCGAACGCCATGGTGCCACCTCTGCCCACGACGCTTTGTCTGCTTCTGCCCCAGGTGCCACCTCCTTTAAAAAGTCTTCCTCAAGCCCCAGCCTCTACCTGAACTCCCAGGAGGGCAGTGAGCCCCCGAGTCACTTCTCAGCAGGTTGAAATCCTGGGGTTGATTCTACAAAGGGCCCTGGATTCCCACCCAAGCCTCCCAGGAGCAGTCCCTCCAGGACTCCAGAGCAGACACGCGCTGCAAGGGCCCACCTGACTGTAGGCAGGGATGTCGCGGAAGGGTCCATAATCCAGGAGGTCCTCGGAGCGCGTGGGGTTCCCCAACTTGGTGTAGCTCTCCACGTTCCGGGAGGCGAGCTTCACACGCATGGTCTGCGTCTTGGTTGGGTAGGGAGAGTAGAAATAATGGTTTCCCTCAAACACCACGAACTGTTTCTCAGACTGGGTGATCTGGGTTGGGTACGGCTGAAGCACGTGGGTATAAACGGCTTCCACGATGACGGAGATCTTGGACCCAGGATCAAGAGCCACTGGGAGCTTGACTGTGAAGAATCTCCCGCTGCAGGAAGAACGAGGAAAACAAGAGACCAAGACACTGAAAGAGGAACAGCTCAAAGTCACAGCGATATTTTGTGCCAAGGTAACACCACTTGCCTCTAAGAGATTATGTTCAACCTATTCATTTAAGCCTTTTAAGACAAACGTCCAGGGAGTTCCCTCGAGGCCTAGGGGTTAGGTTCTGGGCTTCCACTGCAGTGGCTCAGGGAAGATCCCGCAAGCCATGCAGTGTGGCCAAAAAAACCTCAAACAAAATAAAAACAACAAATGTCTACATGTTCATCTCAAGGTTGTTTATAAAAGAGTGTCAAAAAACCCAAATGTCCAACAATAGGTTAAGTGTTGAAAACACCGCAGTGGAGCCACACAACGGAATGCTGGCCGACACAAAAAGACGCTCACAGGTGCGCTGACCAAAACAGCCTCTGCCACGCTGAGCAAGCGCCAAGCCACTCTCTCGTTAGGATTCCAACCCTGGCGTGATAACCTGCAACCAGAGGAGGCAAGACAGAGACATTCCGACGGTCACTGTACCTTTTACCCGTAATTCTGGTCTCTCTTACTTCCAGATTGTTCTCTTCCTCATCCTCTCCCTTCACCTGCAACAGGACAAAGGAAGTTATTCTCTTTTGTCTTTTAGCCTCTACATTTTGAGTCAGCAATTAACTAACTGCCTCAGAATGTCCACATTAAAGAATTCCAGCTGCCAGAACTTTGTGAAGATTGAATACTGGTTTCAGTAACAATTTTTTCAACCAAAATACAGGAACACTTCAAAAGGCTGACTTTTGCACTGAATAAGCTGTATAATATGCCCCATAAAATCATAGTATTTCCTTAATGATAAAATACACACATACAAATTAAAATTAAGGCTGGAAAGGGTTTTTTTCTGGAGGTTTTTTCTTCATTTACACCCAAATATGCATGGGGAAAAAACCCAGCTATTTATTGTTATAGCAGAAAAGTCTAATGCTTTAATGAAAACTGACTTTACTTGCACAAAAGAAATTAACAGTGGCACAAGCAACGGCACGACACACCCCTTCACTCTCATCCTTCCCTGTAGCCCAGTGTCCAACCACGAAGAGGATGCCAACTCCAGCGGGCTGCAGGGTCCTTCTGAGGAAGAGCAGGCATCTCAAATCAGATTGTGGAGCAAATGATAAGGAAAAAACTTATACACCCACCACTGATCTCTTTGCCAACCCAACCTCCACCAAAAGAAAAATATTTAAGACCACCTTTTAGGAGTGAAGCAGTGACTCCCAATAGAGTATACAAAGCTATAATGAGAAAGCTATTTGTAGTATCTCAGAAAGCCTAAAAGTTATCATATAATCATCCTCAACAGAGTCATACAGCCTAATGTGAAGTGAAGTCGCTCAGTTGTGTCCAACTCTTCGAGACCCCATGGACTGTAGTCTACCAGGCTTATCCGTCCATGGGATTTTCCAGGCAAGAATACTGGAGTGGGTTGCCATTTCCTTCTCTAGGAGATCTTCCCGACCCAGGGATTGAACCCGGGGCTCCCGCACAGGCAGACGCTTCACCGTCTGAGCCCCCAGGGAAGTCCAAGCCTAATAAAACAACCACTTCACTTCTTTGGCTAGACTCTTGTCACAATGGGAACACTCTCGTACACTCTATCAGGGTCTCTCACTGTCCAGTTACATGGTGATTTTGTCTTAAGAACTATTCCTCTTCATTTTTAAGTATTTACCAGATTCACTGCCTGAACTAACAAAAGATTAGAGAGGCAAAAGATTTCAAACATAGGATGCAAATTAAAGGAAAAATGCCTTTGGTGGCAAGGAACGACTGGCTCCTAGTCACTGGTCGCCACAGTCCCTCCCACCAGCTCTGAAGTTCTGCATGTAAGGGTGAAGATAATTCCCTGAGGAAACTTCAAGCAACCGCACCAAGACTCCCAGCCAGTTGCTGGAAAGTACACATTGTCCTGGTTAAGTTTAACATCCGATTATGTCCCCCACTGAGATAGAGGTACAAAAGAGCCTCTCTTTTGGACTCCAAATCAAAAAAACAACTCTGGATAAATCTGGTGATGGGACCGCAGGTTTTATACTTCTGCAGAATCCTACTTCAGCACCACCTAGGCCAGAAGAGGCAGTGTGGTGTGCAAATGAAGTCTGAAACAAACCAACCTAAGCCCTGACTTAACTCAGCCCCCAGACTCCAGCCCTCACCTGCAGTTAGAGTACACATCAAAGGGCCGTTGTGAGAGTTAAATGAGAATGTCCTTAAAATACCGACCACAACACCCAACACCAGGTAAATTCTGAGTAAGACACCAGGACAGTAACCCCACGCTCTCCAGGCATGATGGCCAGATAGCCTCTGCTATAGTCTTGTTACACTCTGGCAACCACGCTAGGTAGGAGGTGCTTTTTTAATCCATCCTTCCACAAAACTCGAAGTAAAACTGTGTCCTACATCATGGAGGAGGCATGAAAGGGAACAGGAGTCATTTCGGGAGCTGTAAAGGCAACTTTACAGCTCCGAGTTCAGAAGTACGACACTGTAACGACTGTTTTCCCAACTAATAATTGGGTAATTACTTAATGCATGTTGTCTAATGGGAACAGCAATAAAAAGTATATGTGTATCCCTACGCCCAAAGCCAACACTGCCTCGCCGAGGGACGTAAAACTGACCACTGAAATGCCTGGAAGACCAGAAGCCGACTGGGGAGCCCTTTATTGCTTTACTGTCAGAACGAGAACAGGTCGGGGAGGCAGAGAACTGGACTTTCCTTTTCTGTACCGTATTACTCGCACGAGCTTTTTTAAACTTAAAGAAGAGACAACTGTTTTTTAAAAGAGTTATCGCAGCCGTTAAGAAATGCATTCTGTGTGCAACGGTTTCGAAGAGGCACAACCTTGGAAGCAGACCTGAGTTTCTGACCGCTGTGGCCAGAGGCGGCTCCCCGGGACCCCGCGCTCCGGCCGCGCGCGCCCCCGCAGGCCCGGGGTCCGGGCGCCCGCGCCGCAGGCCGGTGCTGACGTGTCCCGGGCGGACGCCGAGTCGCCCCGCCGCCCTGCGACCCGCTCACCTGCACGCCGAGGTGCGCGAGCCGGGCCTCCAGTTCCGGCTCCAGCGCCAGCAGGAAGGAGGCGGCGCGGGGCGAGGAGCCGCCGCCCGCGTGCGCCAGGACCACCTCGGCCGTCACCTTGGCCAGGTGGCTGCTCAGGTCCACCGTGCGCTTCACATCCTCGTTGACCAGCGGCGGCGCGTCCGAGGAGGCGCGGCCCGGCTCCGGGGAGCAGGCCGCGAGCAGCAGCAGCAGCAGCGGCGGCAGCAGGCGGGCTGCGGGTGCCTCCATGGCCGGGACCGAGCTGAGCCGCAGGACGCCCGCCCGCGCGCGCCCCGCGTCCGCCACGGCGCAGCCGCCCATTGGCCCGGCCGGCGCCCAAAATGGCGGCGCCCGCCCGAAGACCCGGTCTCCATGGCAACGGGCGGCCCGCCGAGCGCCTGCCTGCGCGCGCGGCGGCCTCGTGTCCCGCAGGGCGGAGCCCGTCCCCCACCGCCGGAAGCCGCCGCGGCAGCTGCGTCCGTCCCCAGCAAGTGCTGCCGAAGAGGGCTGCATGTTACTGTTTAGTTACCAAATACTGCCCCCAAATTCTCCGTCAACCTGAAGACACTCGCTTTCTCCTCGCTAACTCATTGACTGTCTTAAGAAGCGACTTGACTGGACTTTGAGTTGTATACCCATCTGAAGGAGGGACAGGAAGACATCCTTTTAGCGGAGAACCTCGTTTTGGTCAGGAAGAATGAGAGGGAAGCTGGAAGTTGGTGGGCAACCTGGGCCACAAAGCTCCGCAGTCCCAGGGACTTTGATTACTTCCGTTTGTGAGTCAAAGTGCACCAAACATCACCGGCACACGAAGGGAATGAGACCCCAGTCTAGGCCAGACTCGCTCTACCAGAAGCTGGAAACTGAAGGCAGCAATTACACGTGAAAACTGCCGGACTGACTGGGAGGCCTCAGAGCTGGCTCTGGTCCCGGCTTGGTGCGTGCTGCTTCCGTACCTCCCTGGACCCTGGGAGCACAGCTCTCCTCAAAAACGGAGGAAGCAGGAGCTCATCCTGTTGCAGCCACACGTTCCGGGAAACAAACTCACTCAGAAGGACAATGCAGATGGTGGAGTGCAGTTTATTACACCGGCGGGCCCAAGGCAGAGTCTCCTCTTAGCCAAGGGCCCCAACCAGCATTTGTGAAAACCTTATATGCCCTAAGTGTAGATGCTCAAACCCACCTCCCCAAATTCCCTGAAACTAGTATGGACAAGGTAAAAGATATGATCACAGGTAACCCACGATTCATGTGTCATAAGCCTCGATAGTTCAATAGTAGGCATTCATCAATACGCCTGTGGTCATATCCCAATAAATATAATGGAATTTACGACTTTGTTCTGTTACAGAGATAATTAGCATATTCTTTTAGGTGACAGAGAGTCCAAGTCCTGAGGCTCCTTTATCCGGGGGGTCTGGTTTCCCGTTGGTATGCCATTTCTATAGACGCCGGGCACAAAGTTCAGAGTCCACTGGGAGGGTGAGCACGCGTGTGGCCTAATGTTCGCGGCCTGGCCTGAGATGGAGCCTAGCTGTGTCCGCTTCCTCCTTCAGTCCCCCCCTGATGCTCTTCACTCATAGTGTGAGCATCACTCACAGGGATACATTGCACCCTGGCTTTCTGACTGCCAATGTGGAAGGACAACACCAACCTTTGGGTCGCAAAGTTCATAATACATTCTAAAATGCGGGGTCCACAAAGCAGAACTATCGAGGCAACTATAACAATGGTGAATACAGTTTTCCACCAATCGCCCTTCACCCAAGATAGGACCAAAGTCCAGAAAGGGGTGTTTTCATTTGACATTGCTTTTACCTGGTTTTTCATGTCATCTAAAGCAGTTGATACATTGCCAGGTAAGTCAGGTACGTATACACAACATTCAACCTTAATTATAGCACAGGTCCCTCCTTGAGCAGCTGTGAGTATGTCCAAAGCCATTCTATTTTGAATTACCACTTTTCTCACTTGGATTTGCTCTTCATTTAAGGCTTGTGTGGGTTTTGTACTATCTAGGAGGGCCTGCTTTGTGAAATCAGTCAAGACCTCTGCTTTAATCATAATATCTGTTGTCCCTATAGAGGGTACAAATAAGGCAGCAATACACTCATACCATTGAAACACAGATCTTTTCCACCTAGCATGTAAATAAGGTAGATTTACCGGGCCTTGTTGTCGGTTAGGCTTTATGTTGCCATAGACAAAAGCGAACCCCAGTGTGCAGCGGCCTGCCAAGCCGATTGGTAGCCAAGGCCAAAGGTTAGGCCCACAGAGCCATTGGGTTCCGTTGGGTGCCACCCAGCGGATTCCAGGGTTATGTTTCCAATCAGAGCCTGGCCAGTGGATGGACTCATTGGGAGGGCATGTGACCTCGAATGCTTCTTGACATTGTTCGGGGGATAGGTACCCTGTATATTTTAGTTCTTTCAGGTCTAAGGGAGGTCACCAAACCCTACCCTATGTTTTTTTTGTTTCAGCATATAGCGGCAGGAGTAATTAATTGGCCCTTTTCTGGGGTCGTCCAGAAATATTCATCCCAGACCTGGTAAAATTGTTCAACATATCTAGAGGCTTGTCCTCCCTTGCTGGTCAGGGAGCCTTTTTCCTTTTTGCTCTTTAAATATGAGATATGAGCTTTTGTTACTTCTATGAAACTGGCGTATCAAATGTAGCGCCATGACCCGAGTCTGTTGACTGTAGGTCTGGCTCACAGCAAGAGAGCAAGGGGAGATTACGATTGACAAGAGAAAGGAAAGTCTCTTTCTGCCGTCCCAGAAAAGAGTGGAGTGGTTTAAAATCTCCTTGGTGGAGCGGCGACACCCACCAAGGAAGTCCATCCATCACAGACAGCGGCATAGCCCCACATACCCAGCAGCTGGAGGTGTTGTGGAGGTCCACGTAGGAATGTGCCCATGAGATGAAAACATCGTCCTGAGTTGAAACGGAAGTTGAATTCAAAATCACGTTGATGAGGCCAAGCAGCAGGAGTTGATTGTGCGGCTTCATTCTGAAGGGGCTCGTCTGGGATCTTCTTTTCCTTCTTCTTCTTAAGGAGGATCTTAGTCTCTTGACGGTCAGTGGGGTCCCTCTGCGTAGTCCACTCAGCGTTTTCTGGGTCTGCGTGGTATGCTCTCTTCACCCTCGTGTGATGGATCCAAGGGGCAATACCTGCAACATTAACTGCAGCAGGGGTAGTTAGAATAACAGTATAAGGGCCCGTCCACCGAGGGGCTAGAGAATCATGTTTCCAATCTTAGACCCATGCTTGGTCACCAGGTGTAAACTCATGAATCTGTTCCCCCAAGAGGAATGGCACTCTTTCTTGTACGAACTTAGCTACCTGACTAATTACCTTACCTAACTGCTCCATTTGCCACGCAATCCCATTCCCCCTTACCTGAGGCAAATTGGGTGATACCTGTTTTATTATGGGAGGGGGGTCTCCCATCTGCAATCTCACACGGAGAGCAGCCATGGGACCGTGGGGCCATCCTGAGTCTGAGCAGAGCCGTCGGAAGCAAGTCCACCCAGGAGCGGTCAGTCTCTCTGATCCACTTGGAGAGTCTCTTTAAGTGTCCAGTTGGTTCATTCCACCATCTCAGAACTCTGGGCCTATATGCAGTGTAGTTTCCATTTGATGTTTAAAGTTTCACTTATTTGTTATACTAAATCAGCTACGAAAGCCGGGCCATTGTCCGATCTAATGCTGGTAGGAAATCCAAATGTGGGGACTATCTCCTTAAGCAAGCACCAAGCTACTTCTGATGCTTTCAGTCCGGGTAGGAAAAGCTTCTATGCATCCCGAGAACGTACATACCATGACCAGCAGGTAATGGCACTGTCGGTGAGGTTTCATTTCAGTGAAGTCCACTTCCAGGTGTTCAAAGGGCAGCGTGCCTTTTAGCTGAATCTCTGGAGGTTTCTGTCTGTGCCGAAAGGCAGCATTGACCTGTGAGCAGGCAGTGCAGTTCTGAGATTCTGTTCTGCATAGGGAAGAGAGGCGGGGAACCAAGAAATATTTTTGAATTAGCTCTTCCAGTTTATCGTGGCCTAGGGGGGTCGCTTGGTGTCTTTGGCTTACCAGAGTGGGTGCCAGCTCCTCTGGTACCAATAATTTGCCACTTGGCAATTCCCACCATCCCTTTTCAGTCTTTACAGCCCCTTCCACTTTGGCTAGTTGGTTTTGGGTTTCAGTAGTGTATTTTGGAGAGTCCAATGCTAGCTCAGGCAGTTCCGCCAATACGAGCGCTGTAATAGAGGCCTCATTTGTCACTCCCAAGCCCTTGGCTGCTTGTTTAGTGGTCTTGTCTGCCAGTCTGTTTCCCCGAGCCTGGGGGGTATCCTCTTTTTGATGTCCTCGGCAGTGTATGACTGCAACCTTTTCTGGTTCCCAGGCAGCATCTAATAGGGTCAGAATTTCTTCTTTATTTTTGTATCTTTCCCACTAGCTGTCAAGAGACCTCCTCATTATATAGAGCCCCGTGTACATGTAGTGTGGCAGAGGCATACCCGGAGTCAGTGAAGATGTTTTACCCTCTCGCCTTTGACAGCTGGAGTGCTTGAATCAAGGCCCATAACTCCGCTCCACTCGTAACTCCACTCAACACTGAGCAGACCAGCGTGTGGCAAGGAGCCAGGATAGATGATAGTCCTTTCTGTAACTATGGCGTAACCGGACAGCCGCTGTCCTTGTTTTATCAGGCTAGTGCCATCAGTATATAGGACCCAATCAGGGTCGGGAATCAGTTGGTCTCGGAGGTCGGGTCTGCTAGCGTAGACTTCTTCCAAGGCTTCCCACAGTCGTGAGAAGGTCCACCTTCTCCCACTGGAAAGAATGTGGCTGGGTTTAAAGTCTGGCAAGGCTCAATATGGAGGCTAGGGTTTTCACATAACAACCCTTGATATTGAATAATCCGGGAGTTTGATAGCCATTTGTGGGGATCTCCTCGTAAGAGTGTGTTGACCTCATGTAGGACTCTTAGACCAGATCTTGGCCTACAGTCAGTTTAGTTGCTTCTCATGCCAGTAGGGCAACTGCAGCAGTGGCTCTCAGGCATCCGGGCCGCCTGGTGGCGACATTGTCAAGCTGCCTTGAGAGATAGGCTACAGGTCTGTCCCGCGCTCCCACAGTCTGAGTTAACACTCCCATTGCTGTTTTGTCCTTTTCAGTTACATATAGAGTAAATGGCTTGGCAAGGTCTGGCAGGCCTAGAGCGGGTTCTGAATAATTGCCAACCTTAGTTCAT